TTGGCCGCCCTTCCGTTTTCAGGCCAGCGCGTTACCCGGCGCCCCTATGAAAAATAGCTGGGAAAAGGACCGGTGGTTTAACTGTAAGAAGGGATAGGGGAAGAGATGAGCAGTTGGGATAGATGGTTCGAAGGATAGCAGACATAGATAGACAGATGGAAGGAAGAGAGGGAAGGGCAATGCCCTCTTGGTTTTAATGCATCTCAGCATGGATGCATCCACAATCATGATGCCAGTGAGAGATCCTAGTAGTGGCCGAGTGCACATGGGTGCGAAGGCATTTGCCACAAGTGTACATGTCTCCCAATATGGACTCGGGCGACACTGTCAGTCAGGAATTTCACATCTGACGTGCATGTCTGTTGCTGCGTCATATGGATGGGTGGACTTGAATGTGGATCCAGCCTGAGCTCACCATGCATGTATGTCGTAGCGATGTGGAAACAGCAGTCATTACTTGAATGTGGAACAAGCTTGAGCTCGCCTTGCACATATGTCTTAGTGACGGGGGCACATGGCAGCCATTTCATCTACTCCTCCTCACATCAAGCAGCTGCGTAACCACCATGAGACCTAGACACTACAAGCTCCTTAGGGCGGTCATAGGTTCAGCAATGTCATGGTGTCTTTTTCTGAGTACAAAATAAAGTGTAATCCCGCCATTGACTTAAATATCGGACTGACGAAAGCTGGAAGAAGGAGATCATAGTCAAGAGGAGAGGGTACTTCATAACATTCTTCCTGATCTTTTGTCAGGTTTCTACTCAAACCAATGGCATAACCGCAAAGGGGTAAATTGACTGAATGGACACATTATTTAGGTATAATACATGAATGTTGCATAGGGCATTTTTGACGATCTGGCTGGAGTTGTGGTCAGATACATCTTGAAAACTCCAAGTGGCAATCAAAAGTAAGTTAATGCTGGTGGGATGTCAGAGCAGCAATTATTGTCGACGGACGCTGGACCCGTTTCCCAGCAGGTGATGCTACCCACCATTAAATGGAGCAATTGGGGGCCCTGATACCATCTTCCCCCAAACATAACGCATAGCATATGTGTTGTATTCGAGTTTTCCAGAAAATGGGTTTTTTGAAAGTTAGACCCTTTTCTTCGAATACAATGGCACTTTGAACATAATGCATATGTGTTATATTCTAGGCTACCAGAGTGGCCCGGGGTCACTTGCCCGGCCGGGCCAAAAGAAATTAAAAGAATTAAAAATATATATATATTTGTAGAAATGATTTTTTATTCTAAATTTGGTGAAGAATTTCGATGTGACCCTGAGGCAAAAGTGGTTCAATTTATTTTTCTACATAACATAGTGTTTTTTCGGATTTTTTGGAATTTCTCTTTTGTTTTTTTTTTGCTGGGACCTTCCCTTGTCCTTGCACGGGCTGGCCACCCGGGACTGGGGCGGCCCGGCTGGTAGCCTAGGTTATATTTGAATTTCACAAAGAGAAAATTGTTGTATTCGAATATACCCTTTTTTTGTTTTCCCGAAGGTCAACGCCTGCTCCCTTCTTGCCCTGGTAAACGGGACACGGGACAGGCCCGTGCAGGCCCGTAATCACAGATCACTGCCTGCTCTCTCTCTCTCTCTCTCTCTCTCTCTCTCTCTCTCTCTCTCTCTCTCCGTGCGCGAAGGCGCTTCTGACAGCCAAGAAAGTGGCGCGGCCAAGAAAGTGGAAAAATAAGAAAGCCACTCACCAAGGTCTCGCTGCACTGGAACCACTTGATCAGTCTTAGGAGATCAGATGACATGTTGAGATGCTTTGCCCATCTATCGTTAATGCTGTCTATCAACTTTCTTTTTGGTGTGAGCATCCGATAGGTGGACTTAACCGAGAGTTTGTGCAAGGAGAGGGTTCTCTTTGGCCCCTTGGGGGGGGCTTTCGAGGGGGTCCACTGCCAGTTTAGGGGGTCAAAGGGTAACATGGCGATTGGGATGTCTGGTTGATACACCTGCCTTTCTGGTCCGTCCTCCAGCACCCTGATTCTGAAAATCTGACTCTTTTCTATCCATTGGAGCGGGTCGAGGCTGCCCTCCAACCGGTTTCCTCTTCCTACTGCGTATAATTCTATTAGAGAGTTGTCAGGCCGGAGCTCATGGATGAGGCCGCATCCTTGCAATGGCAGATCGCGCACAAGTGCCTCCCCACCCAAAACTGGTTGATCGATCACACCAACCTAGAACAGAAGGGATTAGCGTCCCCGTGGTGCCCCAGCTGTCTGCAGAACTTCCCCAACCGGAAGATACCGGAAACCATCGAGCACATTTTCATGCAGTGCCCGGGGGCAGTCCTCACATGGCGTTGGTGGGACAGGATATGGAAAAAAACTGTAGGAGAGGAGGACTGGCCCTGGGATTGGAGGGCAATATTCACTCGGTACTGGCCTCAGGGCCAGTCAAACGCCTTCAGGACTAACATGTTTCAGCTAGGTAGGCGAGGTATTCTGTGGACACTATGGTGGAAAAGGTGCATATTGGCTATAGACAAGGCGAGGGTGGAAGGACCGGAAGTAAAAGAACAGTTAAGATCACATATTCAAACGGAACTGCAGTCAAGGTGGCAGGAGGTAGTAAAGGATCTGGCCCTCCTGAACGACACCTTGGAAATCCAAAAGAAAATCGATGTTTACAGCAGAGAATGGTTGGGAAGGGAACAAGGGGGATGGATAGCATCGGTCAAGTGGGAAGGTAAGAACAGAAGAGATGGTGTGGCACTGCATAGGGACTATGTGCTAGTCTTCAACAATTGGAGAGATTTAGACCACCTGACACCCCTCCGCCCCCCACAAGACTTCTCGGACCCCTTCCCCCCAAGCACCTTGGCAATGGTTGAAAATGCATGGTATGGCCATTAAGAGGGGTCGGGTAACAGACAATCATGGAGGATTGAATGACTTCAGACAGCAAAGACAACCGATAAGGGACAGGTTGGGAGCAGCGAAAGGAAGGCCGAAAGTTGCAGAAGAGCCACGGGCACACAAGCGACCACTAGAGGAGAGAGGGAGTGGCCAGGAGAAGAACACATAGGGAGCGGAAAGGGAGGCAGGAAGGACATAGCAGCATTTACCTGGCATCTGTCTGTACAGACAACTGACAATCCCCTGGTGCCCCCCAGGGTTGAGTCGGGGCGAGTAAAAAGGAGTCCTGAAGCTGCAGAATGGCCACGGGCCCACAGGCGTCTACTGGAAGAGAGAGGGAACAGGCGAGAGAAGAATACAGTGGGAGAGGAAAGGGAGGAGGGGAGGGGAAACTGGGTATAGCAGTAGTTATTTAGCGCCTGACGTCAGGCGAAGAGGTTCTCCCCTCTCAGACGACCTGCTCAGTCAATCCTCGGGTGTCCCGAGCAATCAATGCTGGCAGGCGGCATCGTTAAAGTTACTTTCTGAATATCAGTCTGATGTAAAATGGGACGCTGGACCCGATTTCCAGCAGGTGAGGCTCCCCACCAATAGATTGGAGCAACTAGGAAACCTGCTAGGGGGGGATGCTGGTACCACCTCCCCTAGCAGCCTTTCCTGT